AATGTGACAATAAAGAGAGTAATACATGTTAGTTTTAAACTTTAAAAGAATTTAGAGAGTTAATAAATTAGCATTAGAAAATATATAAAAATATGTAAGTGTATCTTGATAAGTTAAGAATGCAATAATATCATACTAATATTATTTTACAGTACAGTCACAATGCTATCGGTAAATGAAGTTGAAATGAATGACGCGCTTTCATAGGTGTTTGTTTTCTTGCGACCCAAACAGCAGAAGTTTCAAATCCATTTATTATATGTTCCTCTTATTTTCTTTAAAAATAATTATGGGGCCTTTAAATATGATCTATTTACAATTAAAATTTAATGTTTTATTAATTTTATGATTTAATAAAAAATTTTCATTTTGTCCACCTAGATTGCGAAAATATCACACTGTGCGGCGCTCTCCACCGGATTACGGGTTTCGCTGAAATACGCTGGTCGCTTCGTAGAAGAAATATAGGACGCTTTTCGATTAGAATGCGCACCAGGTACAAATGAAAACACGCTTTCCTGCATTTCCTTTTGAACGGGAGAAAATAATCTCAGGAGGTTGAGAGACGCAGCGCGCGCGCTTGCCGACTCGCTCGCGAATCAATCCAGGGAAATTGTGCGCGATAATCGGCGCGAGGAAAGAGCTGGATCCGATAACATTTTGAATGAAGCAGTGTTACCTCGATTATGGTACTCGCGGAGCTTGATTAGCTGGATCGCAAGCGAGCCTCGATATTGATCCTCTCGTACCTGTGTGTTGTAGATATGACATTTGCACGACCGCAATCACGACGATTGGATTAATTGTCTTTGCGATGGCTCGGTTGTCTCGATTGTGGTTTATTCTATCCCTCGCGTATCCGACCATAGATCGTGGCTTGCCGCGCGGCCAGAACGGTATATAGGTCGCGTTGCGGATTAAATCGAAGAATTCCTCTTCGCGTCACGCCCGATTAATATCCGGGTATCGATATTCGATCGCGCGACGCTGCTTTGTTTAATATTTTGTTTTATTATTTATCGGAGAACGACCAAGTCGCAGACGGAATATAGTCATATAAAGGCTCGACGACTAAAGGGAAACGTTCATTAGCTGGTGCTCGCTAATTTTCGGCACTCTTATTGGATTTTAGTAAATATTAAGGTGTATATGGGGATTTACTTATTATTTATCAATTATATATATATATATATATATATATATATATATATATATATATATATTTAATCTACACTTTATATATATATATATATATTTAATCTCATTTATTTATTATATATAGAGAAAACAGTTACAGTAATGTTATTGCTGATTCTTCGCCCATTGGTTGCTTTATTTTGTGTACTGAGTATCATTTTATTGATTCAATTTTCTTTTATTCATTTGCTGCAACAATAAAATTATTATTATCTTAATATTTGATAACATTTGCGCAAGACTGTTGAAGCAGGCAGAGTGCCGGCTACTGAGCGTCTTCCCTACACTCAGAAGAAAACATGATAATGACAACAGTATAGATAACAACTGTATAAATTTTGTCTATAGAATGTGGGATATATATCTGATTGTATATCTTATTGTTTGTGATATATATACTATATAGTTTAACAAATTGTTTTATAGTTATTGCGACTAAAGCTTTAATTACAATAACTAAAAAATTGTGTCTACAAAACTTGCATAGTTGTCACCTATATAGTTGCCGTCACCATGTCTTTTTCTCTGAGTATATATCGTAGAACTGAGTACATATCTTTTGGTTCGCATTGAAAGGTTCTCTCGTTGAAAGTGCAATGCGCCATCCGCACACTCTAGCTGTAACCGGTAGCTCCAGTTGCAACCTCTACGTCGAAGTGCTTTCTTCATTCACTCGATTACGCCCCGAATATTTCCCGCTTGCCTCCGCTCAAACATTCGACTGATATGGAGTATGTTTTTGTTCATTTCAGAGACGCGAGCAGCAACATTCTGGACAATTTGCTGTCCCGTATGGAGCAGTACGCCACGAATTTGGAAACGCTGGTGGAGGAACGCACGGCGGATTACCTCGAGGAGAAACGTAAATGCGAGGAGCTCCTTTACCAGTTGCTACCGAAGTGAGTCTTACGAAACGCGAATAAAGCACAGTCTTCTCCGAACGAGATCGTCGTTCCATTAGCCGCAAGGTCTCGCAGAGAATTTCCTCGAATACCTTTCGTATCCTCGAGAGAGGACCCGTAAATATTTAAATAACCGTATTACTCGGCTGTTTCGGACAAATTCCACGTACGAGGTTCCCGATTTGATTTATCTCGATGCTTGACATGCATCATAGATTTTACATCTTTTATCGTATATTTTCTCTTTTTTCTCTCTCTCTCTCTCTTTCTGCCTTTTCACGTTCGAATATCTCGGAGCCGTCCCTGAATTTTCCTTGCGCGAAAAATCGCTTATTCGGCTTCGCTGGTGAGGATTTGTTAATCTAATGCGAGGTGTTAGTCGATTATGCATAAATGTACGCGCGCATTCGTCCCGCCGGACGCACGAGCATTAAAACTGCTAATTAATGCAAATGAAAACGGTAATAATCGCGCTATCAAATGGTTCTTACGCGAAGAAACAGAAACGCTCCGTGATAAATGGCGTAAATTAACAGCCAGAAGAATCTCCTCGTGTTGCAGCCACCGCGGAATCGAATACGGCGTAATATGGAAATGGAAATGGATCGGTGGATCTTGTCGATTTGCTCACATAGCGGGGTGCGATCGTACGGAAGCTTATCGGGAGAGAATTGGTCAACCGTAAAATTGAAATTGATCCGAGAAAAGAGGGAAAAAAATGAGAGAGGAAGAAAAAGAAGCAGGAAACGAATTGAGACTCGGCATATATTCGCGTAAAAACGAAAGAGCAACGGGCGGGACAATTTCCCGAGGGCGTCATCGGGTAGCATAATCCGCGAAACTGCGACATAATTATACGGGACAGTGTGTCGTTTTAATTTACGTTAAAGGTCACACGCACGCGCGTGCGAGCACGGCGGCTGGCGGAGACGACATAAGGTACCTCGAAATAATTTGGTCGATCCGTGAGAGCGGCTCGACGCGCATGTACGTGTCGTCTGCTTCTCACTGGCATAATTGTTCCGCGGGGAGAGGGTTGTTACGGTATAATAAAGCAATCAGTGTGTTTCCCGTCTGCGCTCGAGAAAATATCACGTATGCTCGCAGACGCTGATTTCAAGGATCGGCGGCGGGAATATTAATGGACTTTTGCATCGATCTTGCGGCAACCGAACGAAAACTGATGCCGTGTCGCGAACACGAAAGCATCCTTCTAAGACACCCTTGTAAGAGCAGTGTGATATAATAATGCTCAGCCGCGGAACGGTTTGCACACTTGTTATCGATGGAAATTACAGCGCTTTAAGTTGTCGCAATTAAGAGCCACTGCTGATGTGCACGCGCAATAATCGGTTATGACAGGAGCTGTAGTGACAGGGTATCCTGAGAAAAAAATACTTGATATTTGCAATTATAATCACATGAAAAAATAATTACTATAAATTATGGTCAAGAAAACTATTTTTTCATTAAATTATTAAATTATTTTTAATTTTTAATTTTTAATTTAATTTTTAAATTTTTAAATTAAATTATTTCATTAAATTCTTCTATAATATTGGTGACAATGGCTTTACATGTATGGCTTTACGATTACTGGTTATTTTGGTGTTAGAATAACCAAAAAATATGATTGAGGCCAAAAACAACTATAGTTGTCGTTAGGTCAAGCACTTTTTTTTCTCTCAATACAGAGTATGACAATAAATTTGGGAAGATGAATTTATTGTAAACAGCATATTATTTTGAAGTAATTTTTATCATCCAAAAGAATATTATTTTTCTTTTAGCGAATTTTCTTACGTATGACCTCAAGAGAATTTCTATAAAATAAAAAAGAAAATATTCTAACACGCAAAAAGAAGATTGAACTACAAAGTGCAATTCTCTGTAGTTTCATATTCCAAGCGAGAATTTTTACCAAAATAATATACCTCTTCCATTGAAATGAACTACTAATCGGAAATCTACTAGAGTTATTGTTTTTTTTCCTTTTGTATCAAAAGGAATATGTTTACTTGCAAAATGCTTCTCTTATTAGAAGAAATTTCTATCAAGGACAAAACTCATACTGTAAAGATAAAAGACGAAATTCCTCTAACTTTAAGAATATTGTGCTTGAAGTATTTTTCTTTTGGTAGGAGAATCCTCTTGAGGCCATATATAAGAGAATTCTGCTGAAGATAAGGTTGTATATTTTTGGGAAATGTATTTTATAAAGAAAGATAATAGATAGCGTGTTGAATGTACGTCAGCAGTGGCTCGCAATTGTGGCAAGTTGGAGCGCTGTAACTTTATTCAGTAAAAAGCGTGCAAATCGCGTTTTATGACCCAGTATATGTGTACTTGCCATGTACACGTGGCCGGAGGGCCACGTCTTATTTAAGCGAAACTCCCCCATGTTAGAACGACTGTGCGCCGTTAAGGGACCTCGTCTAACTTCTTGTGAACAAGTAGGCCTGCTAAGTTTAACGAAGTTTACAGGAATGAAAAGGGGTGAGCGCGCGAAGCGGGGAAATTTCGCCGAGTCCCGTAAAAACTTCGCCGTCGCCGTTGGTTCTCCTGTCAAGTATTAGTAACGTGGTTAGCAAACTGGCAAAGAGGAGGGGGAAGTGACATTTGATCGATATCACGTTGCGTCACATCATCGCGATTCGTGACGCGCGTTGTCGAGCTGTGCACTTTCTCGATATTTCGTTCGGGGGAAAAGTTGAACACGCGCGAGAGAAAAGCTAAAAACGAAAAATTCTCCAGAAATGACTCTAGTCCGAAACGATCGTACCGTTTCACACTCCTCCCGCCCGTTACATAACTGTGAAACATCTGTGAAAGACACTTGTTTGTCCCGCGAGCAGATCAGTGGCGTCCCAGCTGATCCTCGGACAAAGCGTAATCGCGGAGACATACGATCAGGTGACAATCTACTTCAGCGATATTGTCGGTTTCACGAGCCTGTCGGCTCAAAGCACGCCGCTGCAGGTGGTCGATCTGCTCAACGATCTCTACACGTGCTTCGACTCCATCATCGAGAACTTCGACGTTTACAAGGTGAGTATTGACCCGCTTTTAAGCGCGCGCTCAAGTCCGAGGGGTGCGATATGGAAATGACATGGCTGCCGGTACAAGAGATGAATATTTTACGTGTAATAAGGTCACACGATGTGCTTCGGGCGACGACGGTGAACTTTCGCAGCAGGCTATCACGGCGGAACAAAGTATTGTAACGCGTGCGATGACGTCACGATGTCGCAATATCACAAGTTCTTCCGGCCTCGTCAGAATGACGAGCGCTTTGTTCCGCTTTTGTCTCTGGTGGACCCAAGTTTTTCCTTTCGCGAGTGTACGACTTCTTCAATCAGGAAACTTTGCGTCACCTCTCCATGCTCTTCCTCCGCTCTCTCTCTCTCTCTCTCTCTCTCTTTCTCTGCTATTTTCCCCTATTCTCCGGTTGCTTATCTCTCGCAATTTTCCAGCAGTTTCCCCTTCAATCTAAACGATCATTCCGGGATAACGTATTGCTCAAGCAACACGTCGTATTTCTCATTGGCTCGAGATCCCGAGATTTGATTCTATATTTACGAGATTTGCACGTGGCATTACTTGGGGTAGCCAATCGCAGGATTTCCGAGCCGTTAAGACCGACGTGAGATACAGAAGTGGAGAGAAATGTATGGTAATATTATGGGGCAATTTGCTTCCTCGGAAGACTTTTTGCAAATAATACGCCATTACCGTGCGCGGATCTGAATTTTTTTGCTACGCAACACTCACGTGCAGCGAATTCGCGCCCGCAAGACATTACGGCAGTAAGATACGGAAATCATGTGTGTGATACATAAATTTACAAATATATAAAGTCGGCGTGATACGTGGCAATAAAACCCAGCAACGTATATATTTGCCGTAGTGCAAACACGTCGTTAACAGAAAGGGAAATCGATAAAGCACCGTAATTCCAGAAATCTTGACTTTATAAAATGCGATCCGCGATGTAGCCATTTCATCACCATAATTATACAGAATGCTCAAAAGGTCCCAGATCAGCAGGATATTTCAAGAATGAAACATTTTAGTGAAAAATGTTAAATACAAAAATTGTTGGATGTCTTGCAATGCATTAGGTGGGTATATAGTTAGATACTAAGTTGAGTTTTCAAAATCAGATAAAGATTACTTTGAATTTTTTAAACGAAATATCTTATATTCATTGGATACCCTTGTAAATGCTGTTAAGAAATATTTACGAAACATTAGTTACAAGCCCTTTTTTGATGAGAACTTTTTGTGTTATGATTTCTCAAAGTTGAAGTATCGCCAGCATTTTCTAGATATCGCGCCGGGCTAGGGCTTTTTGAACAGCCTGTATATTTAAATCTATCCCTCTGAAAAATACGATTCCAGTTGCATTGGATTCCATTAATTTCTTTTAATTACAAATTAAGTTTTCTTTCTCTCTCTCTCCCTCTCTCTCTCTCGTGCGCGCGCATTCTTTTCATCTTCAAACTTCTTCTTATTCATTTTTTAACATATTGAATAACGGAACTGAGCGTAAACTTTTGCTTACTCTATGTATGTTTATGTTTCCGTTAATGTATATACTTTAATCCACCAGATAACGACGACTTCATTTAAATGATGAATTTGCAAGTTTAGAAAGAGGAATCTTTCTCGTCAGGAATTGCAATTTACGTTCTATTGATATTGCATGTGTGTGACTAATATTTCTTCGAAATTTCTACCTCCGTTTTTAATTATATTGACACTCGTTAGTAGAACTTTTTTCGACGTAGTACTCCGGAAAACGCGGCAGTTTTCGCTTATCATCTCCGTAGTATTTTCGCTCGTCTCTGTTCTCCGTTGACTACGTTTCTTAATTCATTTACTCCACTTCGGTATTACGAACTTTTTGAGGTCCCAGTGTCCTTGTTAAACGTACAGACGTCGCCTTCACGGACTTTCCTTTACCCGACACCTTTTTCCCTCGTAATTAATCTACTTAATTCAAATAAAACGCACAGAGAGCGGACGGTGATAAATAAATTTAATATGAACGCGTATCTACGTTATTCTTTAGCTCCTCTCATTCTCTCTCTCTCTCTCTCTCTCTTTCTTTCTCTCTCGACATATTAGATGCTTTTATCGAGAACACGCCGACACGCAGTTTTTCTCAATTCTCTTCTAGGTGGAAACGATAGGGGATGCCTACATGGTCGTGTCGGGATTGCCAGTAAGGAACGGCATGAATCACGCCAGAGAGATCGCGAGGATGAGTTTAGCTCTCAGGGATACGGTAATGACTTTCAGCATTCGCCATAGACCGAAAGAACAATTGAAGCTTCGGATTGGCATGCATTCCGGTGAGTCGACGCTTCATCACCAGTACTTTTCTCCGATCTCGGGCGAAAGCCCAAGAGGATCAATTCTAACGGGCGCGATTCCTTCTTTTTGGCCTCGCGCCGGAACGCGCGTTCACCCTCCGAAGTTGAAATATCTCCTTTAATTTGCCGTTTCGCGAAATCATCCGGTTGAAGAATTACGGTATTCGACGCTGTACGGTCTTATAAATCGAGCCCAGTTTGTGCCGCGTTACGGATCGATTTTACGCTCGCTTGCAGCGAAGGTCGTAGAACACGACTTCCAGATTAATATCGCGACGCAGGCGAAGGCGAATTAAATCAAATAATTAAGCTGCTTCGTGAAGTTCCGTGGAAATTTTTTCTTCGTGGCAATTCGCTCAGATATGCACGCGCGCGCGTCCGCGCAAACACCGTCCCGATCGATGCCGACCGGCCGAGATTGATCCGGAAATTGGACCGTTCAAAAATCGAAAGCCACATATCGTTATGAAGGAATAGGTGCTCTTATCGATTAACAATGCAATTGTTTCGTCCTCGACTCTACCCCTGTCTCATTAATCTTTCCCGCGCGGGTAGATTCATGGGCGTGCTGACCCTCGCGAGTCACCCTCGGGCTGTTACGTGACGAGAACTTCTGGACACTATCTCGTTCCGTTTCCACCATTTCTCGTTACGATTTTTCTGAGACCCACGTTGTCGGTGTCACGCTCGTGAAGCAACGTCCTTCTTTCGCACAGAACTTTGATTGCATTCACGCTCTCACGAGAAGAACTTACGAAAAAAAATGTCTTACTGCTTTAGGTAGAAGTTTAAACGTCACAAATTAAAACTCATCCCTGTTTTTCGATGTATCCGCTAGAAAGTTGTTTATGATATGTAGCTGTAGAATTTACAGCAGCAGCATTCTAGCGATATCAGCAAGCAAATTTAGCTACATATGAGAATTATACATTTGTTTGTTTCGCGCTGTTCTTTTTTATCTATCGCATCATCAATTTTTATAAGAAGTGCGACTAGGGAGCTTTAGTCTAGATGAGCGTAACAGAGAGACATTCTTATTAAATTTTACTAATGGTTGAGACAGAAATTCTATCATCTATATTGATTAAATAAAAAAAAAGATATACTACATATTGTAGTATTTACTAATCTATTCATCTTAACTAATTTCTCATATCTAGATAATTTTTGCCATGACTGCAAAGTCATTTTTTTAGCGCTCTGAGCGCGCAGTGCACAGAGGGAACAATTTGATTGAATTAAACAAACACTTCTTTGGAATAGTCTAAACAAATTTTTTGGTCGAACATAGTTTTGTTTGACGTAACAAAAATATTTAGTTACGGCTTAGTTCCAACGAAATATTTTTATTGTATCATCCAAAAAATGTGTTTGCATCATTCCAAAGAAGCATGTATTTGATTCAACAAATCGTCCTCTCTGTGTACGAACCGAACGTTTAGCCGTAATTGGCCAAACTAATTGCTTTTTAAAGCGGGAACGCGAACACTGTATTCATGCCGCGTTATTTGCGAATTTAACGATGGCGCTGGGCGGTACGCGCGTCTGTGCTTGCAGGACCATGCGTGGCCGGCGTCGTGGGACTCAAAATGCCCAGATACTGCCTGTTCGGAGACACCGTCAACACAGCTTCCAGAATGGAGAGTAATGGAGAAGGTAATTAACAGTATAGAATCGCAACTCTCGGGAAGGAATGCTGTCTTACGACGGCAGAACGTGGAAGGGGAAGACGTTGGGGTGCGATGTTATAGATGGGTGTGTTAATTAAAGGGGAGAGGTAAGGGTGCGGCGACAAGGGCAAGGTCGCGACGCTTAAGAGGAACTAGACTCGGCAACGTTTCCGCGGGGATGCGATCGCGATTAGCTCATTTCCAGTCACGAACGCTTCATTATCGATCGCAGTCGCGGTGACCCGCGTAATCAAATGAGGAAATATCCATCTGATACAGTCTAGAAATGTGTGATCGATATGTCTGACAAAGCTCATGTCATCAACATTTAAAAAAATGGTCTAAGTAGAATGCCTAAATGTCACAGTTAAAAATCATCCGTTGTTTGTATCTGCTAGGAAGTTGTCTATGTTACGTAGGATTTATAGCAACAGCATTCTAGCAATATCTGCTAGCAAATTTAGATGAATGTGAGGATTATGAATTCGTTCGTTTCTCGTCGCTATAATCTGTTTTGTCTATCACAGTCATTTGTACAATAAAAGTATGACTGGCTGTAAGGGAATGCTGGAGTCGATGGCAAATTCCAAAAATGTCGATAACGCAGAGACGATCACTAACACAATCACACTATCTTTTTTTATATATATAAATCTTACGTAAATGTGTGTCGCTTTGTTTCATCATATTCAGCAGAAAATCTAACGCATATATAGAAATTTTTCTGCAAGCTTTTCCGATATTTTTAAACTTCTAAATTCAGATATAGATGTACAGCAATGTTCCTTGAAACGTTTTTAAAAGGAAACTACAGCAAGTTACAAATCTTTTGTATTAGGCGAATATTTATTTGAAGACTAATTTTCACTCAAAATGTCAATTTTGAAATTTTTTTTCCTTTTTGTTGTACATTGAGCAATGCTCCGATTCATTTTTGCACGTATTTTTATTGTGTAAGAATATTTTTAATTCAGCTAATACAGCGTAAATTAGGCAGAAAAAAGTCAGTATGTCGATAAAGTTTTCAAGTGGAGCATCCTCTTCATCTGGGCGCCACAAATGGATTTTCACAATTTAACAGTTAAATTTTACAAATGATTCAGGCAGAAATTCTGTCTCTATCGTTTATATCGACGAAATATAAAAGATATGCAATATCGTAGTAGTCACTTATTTATTTTAGTACATTTTTCGTATACTGAGAACAAAATTATATTAAACCAAATATTGTTTATTTAAATCAGATAAACAATATTTGATTTAACTAAAGAGAATGTAGATTTAAGTAAATATGTTAATGGCGCCCATCAAAGAAATATTTGTTGATTTTAATATAATTTTCCTCTCAGTCTAGACAATTTCCACCATGTGACTGTAGGACCACTTCTTTAAGCGAATATCGAATTCGATTCTCGGCAACAAGTTGGAAATTGAACGCGCGGTCGGCGCTCCACCGCGCAAATACGTCTGATCGTTTCTAATTAGGAAACGAAAGCAGCCGACGAGCGCGGCACCGAGAAACGGTTTCGGGGTGATTACGAACGTTGCTCGGAGGAAACGACACGCGTGTAATTTAGCGAGCGTTTATTGGCACGCTTACGAGACTCGTACGTGAGTGTGGTGTATGTGTGTGTGTGTGTGTGTGTGTGTGTGTGTGCGTGTCGATGAGTGCCGCGTGGGTGGCTTCCCCTCGCCAAGGATCCAGATGTAGAGGCAAGGACGCGACGCGCGAGGCGCCACACGGCTGTTTATCGAGTTTCCTCCGTAGCTCGTCGTACTGCGTGTCGCGGCCGAGTTATGGCGGGCGCGTTAAAGTTTCCGCGTGATGGATTATTGACAGACGACGCGTTTCACATTTCGGTACGCCGATTTGCCGGACACGCGTTTAATCACGTAGCGCGCGTGACACCGCGGTGATCTGCCGCGATGTGTCCCGCACAAAATGTTGCGTCGCGCGGATTAAATAGCCGGCCGGAAATCCGGGTTGTGCACGCCGCGACTTCTATTTGCACGTCACCTGCGGCGGTTTACGTATTGCCGTGTGTTCGTCGGGACCGACAACATTTGATGACTGTATCGAGTCGGATAGTGGAGCGACGTGCCGATCGGTCGAGAACGGTGCATGCGCTTCGTTAATTATCCTCTTACTGACGCCACATGGAAAACACATTCTATACGTGAAATCATTGATGTATTATGCCGCACAATTGATCTATCAAGCGGAATACGTGCACTTCATCAACTAACCGTCCCATTCATTCGTAATACAGAAAATGTATTGTATTATGCGATATAATTGGCACATTACACTGCATAATTAATCTCCCCTGATGGAATTACGTAATTGATTTACAACATAAAGACTACCTCGCTATCGATCGTCGCGCGCGCAGCCCAGCTTCGTTCTCGCAATACTCTGTCCCTCTCACTGTTGCTACCCTCCCCCTCTCTCTCCCTCTTTCTCTCTTTTCCCGTAGAAAACGCAATCAGGTTGCTCCAGAAATAGGAGAGGATCATACGAAAATTACGTATATCGGATTAGCATATTCGCAATCGCTCGCTCTGGCCGTCGGCCGTAATCGAACTTGCGCACCTAGTTGCCGACGACGGAAGTTCCGATCGGCACGCGTAACTTTATTATCGCTTTAAATTCCATTAAAAGTTTCCTCAGGCGACCAGTTCACGAGGCGGCGCGATAGCGCGATTTATACGTGTTTAGTTAGGTGGAATCGTAGATCCATTTATACTTCTTTCTCTTTATCTCTCTCTCTCTCTCTCTCTCTCTCTCTCTCTTTTTAACATGTACCGTTTAATAGATCCTTGTAATTGGAGTTTGCCCCGACAAGTTTGATTTTTCTCTTTTTGTTCTTGCCAAGATTGTCGCGAGACGAGCGTTGTCGAGATTACGGCGAAATGTTGGACGGCCAACTCACAGCCGTAGGGATTGTGAGGGGATCGCGAAGGACTTAGCGAAATCGCTTCTTGCGAACTCGTCGGATCCACGTCGAACACGCAAACATCTTCAACGTCAACGACAACAGCGAGTTAATTGGTAGTCAAGGCACGGGGTTCACGTGTCAAAGGGCTTTAAATTTGCCGACGGCCCTTCTCGCGCGTCTTGCCTTGACGTTGGCCGTTCGCGTCAAAATAAATCGAGTCGAGCTACTTCTATAAAGGTCACGTCGGATCGCAGAATTAACGAGAACTTTAGAATGACGGCTGGACTGCATTGTTCGAGATCCTCCCTGGTTTGACCGCGCGACTGTAAACGCGAATTATACTTTGGAGGGAAAATATGCAACGAGATAAGTGCGCGCAGAATCCAGATGAACTTGTGCGCTCGTGTTTGTCGGTCCAGCGAGGTTCATCTATTTCTCGCGCGCGAAATCGCAGGTTTCTTGTCGTTTGAAATATTCGTCGAGCGTTATTCCTTGCGGGATAGTAAAAAGATAAATTCGCGATGAAGTGCACGCAGGGGGTGGTGCGCAGGGTCTGGTCTGGCGGTAGAACGCGTGTGCGCTCGTGTTTGTTAATCCAGCGACGTTTATTTATTTCTCACGGATCGCGAAACCACAGGTTTCTCGTTGCTCGAAATTTTCGAGCAGCACTATTCCCCGCGGGACGGAGGAGTGTAGCCTGGCATACATATATCGCGTCAGTCGTATGCTCGTATCTGCAGTCGCACTAATAGTGTTTACTCTGCTTGAAACGTGTACTTTGAAGAATAAGTGATTAGAGAAAATTGTCAAACATGACGAAATCACACACATCGGGCGAGCAATCACCGTCGGTGGCGCGAAATTGACACGTGAATTTCCAATTGACCAAAAGAAGCGACGCGTTATTCTTGTTATACAAAGAGCAAACCGCTGTGCTCTCGTTTATTTTCTGGGAGCACTTCGTGACTCTCACCGATGCCTGTTCGTGGGCGGGAGAAGCGGCGAAAGAGTGTTTAACTATGCAAGCGACAAGTTGCGCTACATGGATATCGGTGGAAAAGTCTGACCACGGAGTGCATGTGGGACAAACGCGTTTCCACGGCTGCGCGTACGCGCTGTGCTCGTAATGTCGAGAACGACCGACGGAACGATCACATTCCTATCAAAGGTACAAGGGATTCACAGATACGTTGTGCGTTGCGGTTGAACCTGCACTCTACAAAGTAGCTCACTGTCACCGAAAGCGAGCAGGTTCAAAGAGAGTTTATTCGCTTTACACGCGGCACTTTGCGAAGGGCTGCCTTACCCACGTGCATTTCAGTGTGTCGACGAAATTACGTTCCCCTTTTCTTTCTTCTTTCTTCTTTCTCCCTTTTCGTGTCCCACGTTCGACAAATGTCATGTTTCAATAATAGAAGCAGTCCGCGATGAAAATGGAGTACAAGCGCGATATATTTTCCCCGCGGGTATCGAGGGGTTTTATGAATTCAAGCCGTGTAATGTTACTTTTTAGTCGACTTCAGAAAGAACATGTTCTTAGTTTGTCCTATAGGTACGTTTGTCCGCTTGTATGTTTCCTCATAACTCAAAAATCATAACTCGATTAGATGAAACTTTTTGTAACTTGTTCAGTATGTTAGATCATGGTTATTAGATCATTACCTGAGTGATTACCTTAGATCAGTATCATACTTGGAAATTAGGTAATTGGATATTATTTTCTTGAAAATCCGAAAATATCTAAAGATAAAGAGGAATCTTTCTCGATATCGAGTCGATATCGATATCAAGAACGAAAATTTACTTTTCTAACGATATTCTAATACTAATATTTTGACGATAGAAGTCCTGACTGATTGAATCAATTATCATATTCCTTTTTTATTATTTATTTCTTTACCGTTATATATAATTATATATAGTTAGTTACCTGCCTAATTTGTCTTTTTTGCAGCGACTTCTAATATCATGAGAATATTAGAATAGGATTGTAAGTACATAGGAATATATTGATCTTCAAAATTATTTCATACTTTTTAGGATTTTTGAGGTTTTTGATGGCGCTTTATTTTTTTTTAGTTTTCTTTTGGATTTCGTCATGTTTTAGTGATAAAACAGCTATAAATTAACGTGACAATTGTCGGAGACCAATGATCATTTACCGATGATTGTCGTGTTGCACGTGTTCTCTTCCTTTCTCGTGACTAGTTGGACAGAGTATACGTTTCGCCAGAGTAATATTTGCATGAAACGAAGCAGCTGCTCGTCAATATACAACCGGTTATTTTCTCTATGTCACCTATTCTGATAACGTCAAAGAAACGATCTGTTTAGTGGTGTAAGAGACACCACGTATCATAAAACATGAAGCATAAAAGATTTGTTTCTCTTTCTTTCTGTGATAGCTTTGATGATCCACGTCAGTCCGAAGACGAAGGAGATCTTGGACACATTCGGCACGTTCGATCTCGTGTGCAGGGGAGAGGTCACACTGAAGGTAAGCTCTCAGTCGACACACGAATTTTCGTGCCGACACTCACCCGATTCCACGAGTTTGCTTCGCATAATCCGTTTCCACTCTCCGTCTTAAAAGATGAACGTGAAGATGAGATTGCCGTGTATGACAGTCGTTATAGAAATTCGCACGAAGGTTGAGTGGTCCGTCTCTCTCTATCTCTCTCACACCACAGACGTCACGATGAGTGACGGTGGGATGGACAGCGATAGAAGTTTTGCTCTCGTTTACTCTGATTGGCATTTCATGGCGCGAAGGACGCCTGAGTGATCATTACGCGCGCGCTAGAGTCGGTTATGATCCAGTTCGTTCGATCTCGCGATATACAGCTCGAATTGTTTTCTGGCCACGCGCGTTTCTTCTCCGAGACGAATGATATTTCAAGCACACGACGATACGCGACCTTTATATTTCGCTGCGTCCTCGGCGACGTGATGGTTCCGACGACGACGGATACTTACGTAATCGAAGCAAATCGTCGCTATTCCTCCAATCGCTCGAGTCACATCTTTCACGGTAATTACGACGCAGATACGGTAATTTGCAGAACTTCTCTAATTGATCACGGCCGAACGCACTCGCTGAAAATTCGTTTCACGTCGTTGCGTCAAGTATATCTCCGCGCGCGTTGAACGATTTAACAAATCTAAATGACGAATCTCTCCTGTCTCTCTTTTCTTTATTCTCATATTTCGTTCCAATACAAATGAATTTAAAGTGGATCTAAATTTGGGGAATAAATTCGCGAATCGTACCAAGCTCCGCGATGGCTCCAAGATGACTCTTGTTGGCTGTTATATACTTCAAGTGACTTCTTTTTCGATACTTTTTTTTCCACTCTAAATATATATTTATAACTTATTTTCATGTAATTTTTTATTTACTATGTTCAGGGCTTTTTTTTAGTTTTTTTAGGTCAATTTCAGCGTTGTTTTCGCGAAATTTCGTTTCAGTTTCTCCCCAGAGCATGTAACGTAGGCAGAATGTGCTTTCTCGACAAAGGACACGGCTCTCTCAACTTTGGCAATTGCGCTTACAACTCCGGCGCGGGTAGACCGCGCGATTGTATTGTGCCACGAGTGTGTTGCCGAGTTTCCATGAGCTCATCTCTCGTATACATCCGATGCATTCGGAGGTGTTGCGCGATAGCAACCATGAGCGTTATGACGCTCACTTAATACACACGTATCATCTCTCGCGACGCTATATTGTCCCCGGTTGCGATGCACTTCCATTTTGCCGGAAGAGAGTGATTCGCATTTAATCAAGCGGCGGCTAGTTAGGCACCGGCGAAATTAGAGTCGCTTGATAACCCGACAACGAGGACGACAAGAGTTGCTGCGTTCGATAGCACGGACCGGCTAATTCTCATGCGAACGGCGACAACTGCAGATATTACATGTCGGCGATTGTGCGATGGGCTTGTAGCGTCCGGATGCACGATTGTCGTCGGCGAGTCGCCGTCGTTGAATCGAGATTAGATTGTCATTAGGCTGTTCGAGTGCACCTGGCACGAGTGTCGTGATAGGTGGAGATGTCGACATTGCGATTGAATCGTTCACCGTGCAATTCGGGTCGAAGTTTCGCGATGATGCGTCGTGTGTGCGTGTGTGTACGTGTGGGTGTGTGTGTGCGAGCGCCTGAGCGACCGAGCGAATGATGAGTGAGTGGTTGAATGCGCGCGAGTTCAATTGCAATGCTATGCTATTAATTAGTAAGACAGAACCGGTAGAAATTCTCGGCGGGCAATTCGCATATACACGCGTGTACGTACCATCAAACTCTCACGCTGGATGGAATTAAAATTCAGAGCTTCATACCGCTGGACAATACATACGCTGTCGTCGATTTGAATATTCAGGAGTGTACGTGAGCGAAACGCGAGGAGTGTCGTGTAACGGGACGCAGACAAAAGTCCTGGCCGCGTTGCCGCCGGATTTGGTCAGTCGGAAGGCGAGATCGATTAAATCCTCGCAATTACGCGTACCGCATGGCTTGGCCACGAGCTTTAATTATCAATTGCCGCAGCTGGCATTGAATTGGATCGCTGCTTGATTCGACATAATCTCCCGTTATTGCCGACGTTCGCAGGGTAAAGGCACCATGACCACTTACTGGCTGATGGGCGAGAAACCGATTAACAACAACGTGCAACAGACGAATCCCACGACGACAATCGGCCAGATATCGCCGCCGCAGGATCAGCTCGCCGTCACGACGCAGCTGCCGAAGCAACAGGAGCAACGGGGTCCCCCCGCAATCCAGCACAAACATCAGGGTCACTCGGATCTTGAAGTCTCCACCGGCTGGCCAGACGGCCAATCGATCCAGTCGAGGAATCAAGAGCCACGACCGGGTCATCCGGGTCAGCAGAGGCCGCAGGAGCCGCAGCAACAACAGCAGCAGCAGCAGCCGGCGACGCAACCGCGAAGTCAAGCGCAGGCCAATCGCCGGTCCGGCTCGGAATCACCGGTTCCGCCGATTCAACACCAGAAAGTCGCGGTAAATCCCGTTTGCGGCCTATCTGTGACCGGGAATGGCGCGCCCAAGACCGTGTCGTCCCGTGTGGTCGCGGGCCCGATCGGCAACTCGTCGCCGTCTCGCAACAGCGCCAACAACCCCATGCACCAGGTCTACCCTGCGGCCGAGAGCATGCCCAATCACACCGAAAGCGGCCCCAACGCGCCGCTTCTGCTACCTGCCGGCGCGATACCCAGAGTTTAGCTCTCTTAAAGTGGTCCATCCGCCTGGCCGACCGTGTCCGCCTTGCCAGAAGGATGATGGATTTTGAGAACGAACGACAGCCGATCGATTGGCTTGGATCCGTCAGGCTATGGAACAGTCAGGCTTCGTCAGTCGCGGGCGACAAGATCGGGCTGGAAACGTAGGATTCTCTGTCGATAGACAGATCGCGAGCGACGTCGCAAAAGTTTGCGCAGCTTAGACTCCTCGTTTCAGGTATCGTTGAGGCGAACTCGCAAACATATCGGGGCTACGACAGATTCCGTTTGTCCAACTCGCGAGCCTCCTCGCGGACGTTTGTTCACCCGGACGTTGGTTCGGGCGTCGAACCGGTCGTCACCTTTGTCACCTGCCAAGGAACTCCCGTCGTTAAACCGAGATATTCGAGTCAATCGGTGCCGATAGAGAGGTACGCTTCGAATACTCGCGCGACGTAAGAGTTCCAACTGTATACACTTTACTGAAACACAGTATTCGCATCGTTGGTGATAGCCTGGCAAGGCGCGATCTCGGTGAGCCGAGGCCCCCGACTACAAGTTTGCTGAAAGTGATCTCTTCCTACAAGGTATTATGGAACCAACGTCTACCGATTACGATTAGGATAATTTAGGACAATTTAGGAGCACCGCCGTACGAGAACCTACGTGTGTTTCTATCTCTTTATTTTCCCCGATTCTCCCTCCCGCCCTTCCATTCACCCTCACCCTCCCTGCTCTTCGCAAGTGGGCGAGCGATGACTGTGCGAGATTTTGCTTTTTTCAATCATTCGAGAATCGATCGTTTCCCCTCGATGATATCCTTCGTCCGATAGCTGGCGACGAAGCAGACCTCGTCGGTCGCATACCCTCTCTTATCCTAACCTCCTTCCTCTTTCCTGATCCCGTACACGACCGACGATGCACTTTTGCCGAGAGTACTTATCGTCTCTTGTATATGGGCACAGTATTATACACCGATCGCGTATGCACTCTCGCGCGCGTTTTATTTATATTCGGTTCGAAGCGCAAGCGGGGTCGTTCGCGCGTCTCCCGTTAACCGCGGCCCCCACGAGATTAATTTACAGCGGCGTGTAATATGTAGCGGGCTTAGCTTCGGTAAAGGTTTACCGTGTTGTCCGCGGCCAACACCTGTCCCCGTTGTGAACCCGTCGCACGCCGATTCGATTGAGATTTGCTCGCGAACGTAGGCGGACGTAGCCTCGTCTCCTCTTTCCCCGAAAGAGCTTCAAGTCCCACCGGGTTCGGCGAATCGCGATCAGCTGAACGATATGCTCTCTTCCTACCTCTGTGTTGCGTCACCGCGGCCGCGCTTAGAGAAACAGGAGGAAATGACACGCCGAAGGTACAGCTCATATCGACGTTGACGCAGTCGACCGTAATAGAAGCGACTCCCGTGCGCGAAAAGTGCGCAAACAGGCAATTTCCGTGCGATCAGTTGCGTCTTCTTAAACGAAGTTACGAGAGAAGCGCGATCTCTTCTAGCAAAGTATTCCCCTGTTCATCTCTCTCTCTCTTTCTCCGCCTCTTGCCGTTTTCCTCTTAGTTTCGCCTGCGATCGCGAATCACGAATGTACGAATGTCGCGAGCCGTGTGTTATAGGTCGGCTACAGTGTTTCTCGTTGCATGCCCAAACATGACAAATATTACCATTCGCGATATGCGCGCGCTCGCGCGACATGGAATTACGTACCTACACGTAAGGTGTTATATATAAATATACAAAGAGAGAGGAAAGAATACAGAGATTATATATGTATACACACAGGTATATATGTATATGTTTACGAGAAAATAGATTATATATATATGTATATGGCTGCGAAACCCAGAAAAAAAAGAGTTACCGTAGCTACGTCGATGTTTAGGGCCACTCGTAGCGAGCGCGGAGGCTGGGCCTCTCGCGAAGCGAGTCTACGACGTGTCTGGGAAATAATATATCGTATGACATGTACGGCTGTGTGCAAATACACGCGCTTATACACGGGAAGAGCGGGTGTGCGCACGTGCGGCGGCGGTGGCGCGCGATTGCATACACATGCTGCATTTCACGTATGGCCGACGAACGGCGCAAGTAGCTGATTATTTCTTCGCAGTTGTGCCCCGTTGTAAACGTTGCGACGCGGCAAGAATACGCGCGCGTGCACGCGTACATACCGGATGCGATGCATCGCGAGGAGTGGACTTCTATCTGTGTCAATCTCTCTTTTAATGATGTACCAATCAATACATATACATATATATTCCGAAGAAAAAGGAACAAATAAAGTTTAGTCGTTTTCAACATCGTCGCAGACGAATAACGGCGCTCTCCGTCGCGCGACCAAGAGGGAAGAGGTCTCATTAGATTGGTGCAGAAAGATATGTCGTGAAAAATAAGATGGAACGCGAAATTATGCAATAATTTTCACGAATAAAACGGATAACATTGACTTCTTCAGACGTATAACGAGGGCTTCCTACTTTCCTTCTTTAATATTCAAACTTTCTGCGAGAATCCAATAGAAGAATGACAAATCGTTTGCATCAATCTAACGTCACGTGTCTGTTGGCTTCTTGGAGTCCTAGTTACTCTCTAATTTATTTGATTATTGTATCCTCGGCCGAGTCGCATGCTGGGACGAAGAAATCGTACGTGTACAAGTAGAAAAATCTTTGGCACTCTAGAGAGCAACGGTGAGAGGTCAAAAGCGACGCTCAGAACACAGCGTTCGCAAATATCCAGTCGAGGTAAGAGTTCACTCGAGTGTATATTCCAGGATATCCAGGCTCACCGCAGCGAATTCCCCAGGACACTATCCCGATGTTGACCCACCTGCCGTTACCGAGCTGGTGCAGCAACGGCCCGCCCGAGTCACCCTGGGAAAAAGGGAGGGGTTGATAATGCGCTACGCGGGAGTGTTTGTTTCGTTCGACGTCCATTTACGTTACGTCTTAAAGTATCATGAGAGTCTGCCGCCAGAGAGCGAGAGACTCTCCTTCAGGATTATAGACCGCGTTACGGTAAACGACTGATCGGTCTCACCTGACAGGCGTCGCGACCTCCCTCGTAAGCGCCCGCGCACATCGTGGTATTCGTGATGTGCTGAGTGAAGCTGCGAACGCATCTTTCCTGAGGCCACACCGGCACTGCGACTTCCATCAGCACGTTGCTGGCGGGTCCTCCGTAGTACTGCGTGCCCCAGCCTGTAGATGTTAAGGAAAGACGATTTCAGTGAAGATTTTACTTTCTTATCTTTCTTTCACTTTTGTTTCTTCAGTTTCTTCCATTCACAAATGAACGCGAGAGAGTATAGGTAGATAGAAAAAATCGAGACCAGTAGCGATGGCGTTCTTGTTCTCGAACGTTTGCTCAATTGGCGGAAGGCAGATGGGCCAGATGTAGCTGTTGAACGTGGTAGGCCGGTGGATCTTAATGATGGCGATGTCGTTCTCGTAAGTAGTATACACAAAATCCCGGTGTACTCGTATCTCCGACACCATGAAGTCCAACGTTCGAGTCTCGTCAAGCCTGGTGAAATCGTACTCGCCGAGCCTCACTGTGATGTCACGCGGCTTGAACCTAAAATGACGGCGAGAACGCGAGATAACTGTAGTCCGTCGCTGGCGTCGTGTAACTGTAATTTCGTGGTTACGACAAACGGGCACCGCGCGTGTTTGTCGCGTGTTAGACTCTGCCGTACGGCGATACGAAGACGTCGACACGCCGAAAACATTTTAAAGTCCGAGTGCGGCCACCGGCACACGACCGCAGGAATGTGAATGTATTCTTCCGTCCTGCGCACCTTCTGAATCGTAAAAATCGCTAGACGCTCGCATACCCACGATAATAGACATATTTATCACTTTGAAATCGTTATTTAAGGCCCCTTATATCTCGCCGGCCATGACTTCAGAAGTCAGGAATGATATGCTGAAGAAAGTTGCGTGCCATTTCTAAATAAAGACAAATACGGACGAAAGAGCACTCGAGACTGCTTGAATATATTTATAGAATTGTCCGAAAGATATCCCTTTCCCCTGATGAATAGTCATACAATAAATGAAATGAGACATGTAAAATGCTAAAATGACTCTGTTTTGTTTGCATGCTTCATTTCACCATTTGTTACACTACTATTTATTAATCATCAAGAGAAATAGATCTTTTCGAACAATTTTACGAGTATGCTCAATCAGTCTCAAGTGCTCTTTCGTCTTTATTTATTTTTATTTAGAAATAGTAAACAACTTTCGTCAATATATGTCGTTCCTCGCTTCTGACGTCACAAATTCAACATAGTCGCGGCAAAGTACAAGGAGCTTTAAGATCTATATTAATAACTGTTACTTGAAACTTCAAGTGAGATTTTCAGATTTGAATTTAAAATTATATGTAAGTTTTTTAGTGCAATGGAAAACGCTTATAAATGTAACTTTGCGTACGTCACACAATTTACCCCGGAAAATTTTAATCTAACTCTGAATTTAAATCTAGGTATTTCACATGAGACAATTTTCAAGTAATGACTATTAGTATAGGCCTAAATGTTTGATTAACGTTATTTTGAACGCATCCGACAGTTGTAAATAATACATTAGGAGAAAAAAAGGGTTGATTTAAATAAAATTATAGTTATTTTTGGCTCAGGCCATAGTTTTTTGTAGTAAAATGGTAGTACTAACATGCATACAAGATTATTATCACTAACATCGTAATAAAATTTAATTAAAAAAATAGTTTTCTCTTGACCATAATTTATAATAATTTATAATAATTATTTCTCTATGTGATTATAGTTACAAATACTAAACATTATTTTTTCAATGCACCGTGGAAAAACACGTTGAGCCGAGCTCTACTCTCTAAAGTACGACCAGTGTAATCTTCACTGAAGTGTGTTATTCTTATAACAAGTGGTTATAAGTATAGCACTGTAATCAGTGAGAAGTTTCGCTGAAAGGATCAGTTAGTAGTAGCGGCTGTCTCCATTATTGACGCATTTTACAGACACATACAGTGTCACTGCAAGGGAGACGCAAAGAAGCCCTTAATTTCATCGTTACAAATACAAAAAGTTAGTTTGGCTACAACGGATTTGTGTGTATTATAAATTTTGCAGTGAAATTTTACTTCCATTGGTCAGTCATTGAGAAATAGAACGGAGCAGTAAAATGAGAGTGTTTATGTTGAAAATCAGTGAGTACTCACCGATCATCGATGAAATTCTCCTTTTATTGATTCAATCAGGAAAGTCTTTACTAATTAATTTTAAGAGAGTAGGAGCTTACTTGTAAACGCAATGCGCCGCGGTGAGTACGTGTCTATCTGTGATCAGTACACCCCCGCAGTACTGAATCGCGCCTTGCCTGAGAAGAGCGGCCATCCAAGGCCATTCTTTCGGGTCAGCCGGTTGACCACCCACGATTCTGGTCTTCATCTTTGTGGTCATGCCGCATCCTCTGGGTCTCCGCGGTTTTCTTATATCCTCCGTGCTAGTCGAAGTAGTGTCTTGCCGCGAATTCTCGTCGCTGCTCAATACTTTGTCATCGACAGGTGGTCCATTCTCGGTCTCTTTCTCGCTCTCGGTTTCGTCCCACTCTGGATCGTCGATATCTGAGAGAAACGAAGAATTCGGTGTATACACATGGCACTTTTACTCGTGCAAACACGCAGGTACTTGATATTCGAGAGTTCTATACTCGGTACCAAAAAAAGCATCGAGATTCTTATCAAGAAAGCGCACGTGTGTACGCTTCTTTCATCGGGATATGCGCCGGATTAACTAATAAAGGCATGCACGTGTGTATTTATTGCGATGTTTGCACCAATAAATCAATAGTGCGGTCACGTGTGCGATTATGTAATTAAAACATATATATTTTAGTCATTATATCGTGTTACCCTGGAAAATAATTCCCGACCGATTACACGTTTAAGGAGTCGTTATAGAAAAACCGTAATTTCGCTATTTTTATTTATATACAGGGTGTTTGACAATTATTGACACACCTATTGTGTGCAGGTAGAATTAATCAAACTGAACAAAATTCCTCTAGCATTTCGCAAACAACTACGTAAAATTTAGAATTATTACTTGGAAAAGATTAGTGAAAAGATCACGTAGATTTTTAGTTATTAATTAAGAAAAGTTTGTGCATTATCGCGCACAATCGTGCACTAATCTTTTTTAATTAATAACTAAAATTCTACGTGGTCATTTGCGAAATAGTAGAGAAATTTTGTGTTCAGTTTGATCTAATTTACAAACACACGCGACGGCAGACGTCGCCATCGTAACTTATTTGTCCAAAAACTTATTTGCTGCATCATTCGTCAGTCTTTTTTGATTAAACTCAAAACTGACGTGGTTATTTGTAAAATGTTAGAGGAATTTTGTGTTCAGCTTGATGAGTTCTCCATCTGCATACAACGAGTGTGTTAATAATTGTCAGACACTCTGTATAGTGAATCATCAGAACATTTTACGGACTTGCTATTGCCGGCAACACGCTGGCTAAATCATCGTCGAAGCTCTTCTCCGCTCGAACTGTCATAACGCCGTCCGGACAACACACACCGATATACCTGCGATAAGAGGCGCATTAATGTTGGGAAGATCGATGCACGAGGTACATTGACTTACGTTTGCTCGATTATGCACATATAATTCACATATCGTTCAAAGTTCGAGCGGAACTCCTCAAGGGCACATCCGCTGAAGTGTTTACAGTGACCACTTCGATTGCCAGGTGCGATGCAAGCTTGATAAGTTTTCTAGAAAGAAATAAGTCGCTGTTATATTTGTTAAACGTTCATTAAATTTCAAATTAATTGTAGATTCCTCATTAAATTCAATAGTCTTCTCGGCTGTCAAATTTTTCGATGACGCGTTACGCGTCAACGTACCTGTTTAGTTACAGTTCCGGAGTCCATATTGATGACTCGTTTGCTTCGGAAATATGGATGGGAAACGTTTCCCGGAAATTGAGGCGGATCTGAGTCCCGAAAACGTGCTCGCCATACTTGATTCTCGAGTCCCGCCGGATCTGAAAGATACAAACGCACACGAATCGCACACATTGCTGAACACGTTGCACATTTGTGTGAATATGCGTGTGACACGTAACGAAATTTAATGAGGACCATCGAGGACAGAGCGCGTCCGGCAGATACACTTATCACTTTTACGACAATTTGGCTATTTCCGTCGAAAGAATATGCTTTTCGAAGCTACCGAAATAACACTTGATTCATAATTCAACTGAACTATATCACCGGGATGTCACCTATTACACTTGTTTGCGATAATTTGCATTTATATGCATATATCATATACAGAGTGTTCATCGTAACATTATCCGCACCGTTTTTTTCAGTCACGATAATCGGCTTGGAAAAAGTTTGAAATGCATTTAATCAGCACTTAATTAAAATAAAATGTAATAAACATTTCAGAAACGTTCTTTTTTCGCAAAAAATCCAGATTGCCTTCACATTTTTGGGTGGCATCACATCTCTTTTTATCTGTAGTGTTGTAAGGAGAATCAAAATAAATTCGATGGTAACTCGTAATGTTATCTTTATTGCTATTTCACAGAAAAAAACACAGTAAAATAATAATAAAGAAAGAATTAAATATGTTAATAAAAATAACATAAAGCGTTATTGTTGAATTTGTTTTGATTCTTTTTATAATGCTACAAATAAAAAGAAGATATGGCTTTATTTAAAAAAGTGAAAATAACCTTAATTTTTATAAAAAGAACATTCCCTAACATTTTATTATTACATCTTATTGTCGTCTAAAAACTGATTAATTGCATCTAGAATGTTTGACCTGCCCGTTCATTGTAACTGATAGAAAAATAGTGGATACCGTTACTTTGAACACCCCGTATACATCCCAAAATATTGCGGTCGAGAGAAATGCAAATTTTGTTGATATATCGCGACGAGATTGATGAATTTCTCTCAAAAGTAGAATTTAGAGAAGCTTTATTATATTATATTTCATTTCGCGATATTCCCATTTGTACGCGTTATTGATCAAAATAGTGGCATAAATTATATTTCTCTTTTTTTTAAGAAATATAAAACGTATAAAATAGATATAAAGGTCACATAAAATTCTGTTTTAATAAAGCACTTTTGTTCACTTTTGCTTTATAAAAGAAGAATTTTTATTTTACGTCGAAATAACAGAAAGAAATATCTTTGCTGAGTTATATCACTATTTCTCTTCATTACAGTCATTTTTTTTAATATTAAATATAACAAGAGAGGGTAGGATATATCGTAATTATTATAGAATAATGCTCACCCGTGATGTTCTCGAAGTCAGCGGGCAAACAGTGGCATTGGTAGATGCATAGCGAATAGAGTAGCACAAATCGATAAATAGTCGCGAAAGTCCACATTTAGATTAGCGTCGTTTTCGAGTGTTGTTGTATGATAATAGCAGAACCGCAACTGTGACGGTGACTTTTTAGCTAGGACAGTCTCGCTGGTAGAGAACGTACAATGACTCCGAAATACGGAAAACCATCGCTTATATACATACACCCGTGTCGTATGGGACCCTGCAAACGCTTGCTCAAGTTGGATGCCTTCCACTAGGTGCAGTGACACACGTGTTATTTTTACGCCTTTTGTGAAGTAAACGTTTTTTGTGGAAAACATTCCTGTCGATTATTATTTCTTCAATACTACCATTTGCCATTTAATAAATCAATTATCCAGCTTGAATATATATATATATATATATATATATATATATATATATATATATATATATATACACATCGCCCTGCGTTGCGTGTATCGCGTGCGATATACTCGATATTTATTGAAAAAATAATTGTTTAATTCAGGAAGAACCTAAAAATAGTTTGCAAAATTATCGTATTCCGGTGAACCACTCATCGTATAATTTGAATAACGAACACTCGATTGAAATTTACTCGCTCGCTGTTATTGAGCGAAATGTTACGGCAGTTTTTTTAACGCGTTAGCCATTTTAATTGGCTATTAGAGATACTTTGTGGACGTATCCATCCGAGCAGCGAGCAACAAACGTGTCAATTCGACATCGCGTACAACCCCGATCATTCAATGAACCCATTAAGTTAATGCCGCGTAATCGACACAAAGGCTAAGACCGCGGGCCCGCAGTCGGTCGGGAGCCATTCGGAGGAAGAGAAGAAGCCGGGAGAAAATTACGCGCGACCTGTCCGAACAAAGGTTAATTCATGCGAATACTTGCCGCATACACTTGTCGAAGCGGCGAGTAATGGACGGCCGGTAACCTGAGAAATATTCGATTCCGTTCGACGTTTCATTAAACGCTCGACACGCTGACTCCGTATGGAGTCGCGGCGTCGCAAGACTCGCTCTGGAGAGCCGAAGAGGAGGAATAGCGGGATCGTGTCTAGAGCATGAGGGAGAGCGAAAACGAGTCGAGGATGGACGAGAGGAGAGGGAGAAGAACAGGAGAGAATGAAGAAACGAGTATCTTCCTTTCCTTTCTGTCGTTCTTTTTTCTCTCTCTCTCTCCCTCCCCTTTCCCTCGAGTAACCGACAGATAAATTCAGTGGTCTTCCGTCTTCGTTTCTAAATGCGATACTCGAGAAAACGGACATCACCCACATACCTGTTCAGGCCATTGGCTTCGTCCAGGCGGACGTACGCATGTGCGTACTCACGTCTACGGTCACGCGAGACTTACACGCATGAGCGTCGCGTGAGAAGCAAGCTGTGATTTCTTCTTTTCTATTCTCCTTTTTTTTAGAGTATTTAGAGACATGAAACTGTCCGGTGTTCGGCGAGTAACCGCGGTACGAAATCATTTCTGCATCGCGAATTTTGCGAGTTGATCGTCGCTCTTTGATCTCCGTTCTCGTATTTGCGTTGCGCACGCGCGCTCCACGCGTTTTCTTACCTAGACAAATATAATTCAACCGACCGTGTTTAATAGGACACGCGGCATTAAATGCGAGCACGAGTGTGAATCGTTTGAAAGTTTCCCGACGACTTCCACGTGTCGTATGTTCCGTCGAAGGGAACACAAAGCTGCGATTGAGAAGCGCACGCGCTCGTCGCAGCATTTTACGCATGTCGGCTATCTATTTATGCACGCGCCATTGATCGCTCCGAATGAGACGTAAACTCGAAGTCGACCGTGCTGATAACGGGTCACGCTCATCCCATGACTTTTTTTTCCTAAGGTTGATAAAAAGTTCCTTGTGCAAAGAACATCAGCAGAGATAAAATTGGGAGCTGAACTGTATTTCACAGACGTGGAATATGTAGAATGATTATGATAGTCACTATCACTGTGTCGCGAAGAATTTCATTCTCTCTCGTGCGCATTTGTGTGAAAAATCAAAGCGCATTCGGTGGTAACGAACCGACATAGACTCAAACGAAAGCGTGTCGCGAAAGACGAGAAATTGAATTCGTACTTTCTCAGTCTGAGAGAAGCAATGACCACGGACTGGAAGCATCTCGTGAGACAGCTTCTCGACGCAACGTTCAAAAGATGCGCACGCTTTCTACGCTTATTTCCTATATTACAGATTCAACGTGTAGCTGTGCAAAAGGCAGGCTCTCCTTCGGCATCTTCGAGAGCTCGTCGCTCTTTGCATCTCGTACAAGTTTAACAGTGAATTCGTCACAGCACCAGTCACTCGCGACTTCGAAACATGAAGCCTACGGCGATGCACCGAAATGGCGATTATCTCTCTTGAGAGTATCATCTTTTGCAGGAGAAATTTCACCCTCCACAACGACGATTTCACGTTCGCGATCGAAGACGACATCGTGGCGATTGATTTTGCACGCGACCAGAGGTCCCTGTGATATTTTGCAAGATGCCTCTGAGTTTGTCCAAGTGTTTTCGCAGAGGAAGAGCCACATTCGTCTAGTGTAAGACTATGAGAAACTAAAGACGGAAATCCAAATATTGAGCATTGAAGTTACGCCTGGTGGAAATTTTTATCACCCACATTCTCGGCACATCTCACTACCAGATGTTCCGTAAATTCGCTTCGCCACACGCAAAATTGAAAGCGCGGATCCTCATCCTGATCCGCTCGCGAGCGAGATTAATTTGTCGCCTCTCACATTCACAGCAACTCGGGTGAAAATGGATGCGCGTAAAAGAATGTTTGCAATGTAATTATGCTCTAAAGAGAGGGAGGGGGGCTCGTATACAATACGTGGAGTAAGCTTCACTTAAAAATTGGAATAAGAAATAAAAATTATTCATTTTTCCCCTCTATTATGCCTCCTCTACACTTTAACTTCCTTATACCAGAAGTATTTCTTTTATACTCAAGCGAAATAAATTATTCATTTCGCTTGATTTATAAATTATTGTAGATCTGAGTTCTGAGAATTCAGGCGAATTCTATTTTTCGCATTCGCATCTTCGGTTCATCGCTCAAAACGGTAATTTTCGGTTTCGTGTGGTTCATGAGGAAACACAAGTGAAAATGAGAAGATGAAGATATTAATTAACCAGCCAGCAATATTATGTTTGAGAGAGTGAAATAGAGATAAAGAGAAAAAGAGAGAGAGAGAGAGTAAGAGGCAGAGAGAGAAAGACACGTTAAAAATAACATACGGGGCATTTTAACGCGGTGACAACCCAATTCCTTGATGTCACGTATCGACCTTGCGACCTTTCTTTCAAGATATTCGATCGTCAGATACGTTTACGTAGCTCGATAACCACCGTGACGAGAAGCGAGAGATGCAAAGTATGCGTATGCGTCTTCAGAGTGAGAGAGAGTAACGAAAGGAGAGAAAGCGAGAGATCGAAGGAGGAAAAAAGAAAGATAGAAAGAGAGAGAAAAAGAGAGAGAGAGAGAACGATAGAAGGAGACCATGCGAAATCCGGTGAGATCGCGATTGGGGGCAACCCCGGGGCATTTCCATTTAAGGTACCCCGTATATATCCCCTTTCTGCTCCGCGTGTCACTTTGGCACGCATAACCGCGAGACACTTTGCGCGCCAAACGCGTGCTCGCTAAACACGTTTCCTTTACGCGATATATTTTCGTTTCTCTCTCTCTTCCCCTTTCTTTTCAGAAAAAAATACAACTTTGATCTACATCACGAGGTGGATGCAAGCTCTCATAAAGCTCGAAGAGCGAGATAAATCTCAGCCCGAGGTATTTCGGGTTACCTATAGTATATACAGAGAAAATATTGCAATACAAATTACATCAAAATTCTTGTAATTTTGGGCCATATAGAATTATGATCGAAATTATTATATATTTGTTGAAAAATGTTACGAGACACGTTTGACTTTATATGTTGCGAATTGTAATTACTTGAATGTTTCTTTTATTATATATTCGCGCGGTATAGATAGATTGTCAAATTTACTACTTTTATAGTGATTTATATTACAATTTCAGTATAGTTCAGCTTTACGCAAAGCTATAAAAAACTGTTGTAAAAAGAAGTGTAATTTTCACGTAATTCTTATTGCAACATTTTGTCCGTCTACAGAAGAACGCTCAAACTCACTGCTTCACATGAAGCTCACTGCTTCGCATGAGTTTGCTCCACCTTTGTCATCGTTACTTTCTCGTTACGGCGCATCGTCAGGTAACTCATGAGGCGAGTCACGGCTCGGATACGGCGGGAAACGACAGGCTCGTTTGTCCATCAGGCTGTCGACCAAGGATTACGATTCGCACGAAGCGCAGCGATATCACTGCGGTGCACGTACGATAATTGCTACTTCTGCACAAGCTAAACGACTGATAAATGGAGATCAAATCGCTGACGGCTAAGCGCGAGTCGCCGGATCGATAGCGCGTGTTGAAACGCGCTTTACTACGAGGCATCACGAAACTCTTCGTCTTCGTCAACGTGAGAGACTCGCGATCGAGAAATTCTTACGGACCACGCCGATCTACAGGCGGAGTAAGAGGCAGAACGGAAGACGGAATAATAAACGAGAAGGAAGAAAGCGCTAACGAGATTTGGGTTGCTACCTGTCACGTCGTACTCATGATCTTAGCTCCCAGCGGCAACTAAATGCGAACTACCTGAGTAAGAATGTAACTAATCGGCTTCTGAATCTAACCGTAGTTAGTTAGTACAGGTTAAACTAAATTTCCTAGCTCGTTATTTATTCGTTGTTGGTTGATTATTCATTGAAATGTAGAATGTCGGATTTGCGGTCTAGTTGTTGTCTAGTCATTACATATCAAATATGATTGAGTAGATATGTGGCGCTGTCTATTCTAAAATAGACTGTATAATCCGGCTACTATATCATCAGTAGCATTTCAAAATTAGTGAATCAACATTCAGGTTACGTTAATTTCATAAAAATTTCAAAAAAGCAGAATTGAGCATTGTATTATCGGCTAGCATCTACTTATGGTTTTTTATCTCATACTGTAATTTCGTTTTTTTAATCATCAGCTAACTCATTTATCCAGCCACTAGAAGAAGTGAGCGTTACATTACCGGCTAGTAGTGATGTTAGGAACAAAGGAATATATTAA